ACACACACACACACACACACACACACACACACACACACACACACACTTCTTTTGATGAGAAGTGAGGACTTTAGTTACGGTAACTATTTGATGATAAGAAAATGTTAAAGACCATCATACAGCTGGGCGTAGCTCACGCCTATAATCCAAGCTACTCAGGAGGCTGAGATCTGAGGATCACAGTTCAAAGCCAGCCCGGGCAGGAAATTCTATGAGACACTTATCTCCAATAAACCACTAGAAAACCGGAAGTGACACTGTGGCTCAAGCAGTAGAGTGCTAGCCTTGAGCTGAAGAGCGCAGGGACAGTGCCCAAGCCCAGAGTTCAAGCCCCACGTCCGACCAAAAAACCAAAAAAAAATCCATCATACCTAGCTCTCATATTTAAATATTATACATTTTATAATGAAAATATATGTAAAAATTGCATCTCAATTAATTTATCTTCTCCTTCTGACTCAAAGCAGAAATTACAACCTAGTTCCTACTTAGGTTTAGTTATCTACAATTTTAATGCAGTAAGTCTAAAACGAGAGTCTCTAATCATGAAACTAAAAAGGAAACCATGATAAATTAGAGAAGTGTTAAAGTGAGAACAGCCTGGCAAAACAAGCCTGCCTTCATATTTCCATTTCACATCTAGTTATTTTGAACTAGAGTTGTTTTTCCTTTGTTAGTGTTGTCATGATTACATTTTCTGCATACATTCAACAAATATTTATTGACAACATTACTATGTGTTAAAATGAGTGTTTTAATTGGCTTTAAGCATAAGTGAAAACTCATTTTCCTTTGGACTAGATAATCATAAAAATGTTGAGAAATTCCAACTAGTCTTCATACTTTGGGAGACAGAGGGGTACTAGCATTTCAATTCTGGGCCTCATGTTTGCTAGAAGGTGCTCTACCACTTGAGTCAAATTCCCAGCATTTACTTTTGTCAGTTGTGGGGCTTGAACTTGGGGCCTAGGTGCTGTCCCTGAGCTCTTTTGCTCAAGGTTAGCTCTCTACCACTTTAAGCCACAATGCCACTTCTGGTTTTCTAGGGTAACTAGAGATGAGAATCTCATAGATTTTCCTGCTCAGGCAGGCTTTGGACTGCAATCCTTAGATCTCAGTCTCCTGAGTAAGATTACAGGCCTGAGCCACAAGCTCACAACTATCTGGTGAATTTTGAGGTAGAGTCTTGCTTTCTGCCTGGGTAAGCCTGGACTACAATCCTCCTATCTGTGTTTCCCCACATGGCTAGGATGACATATCACTCTTCTCAGTCATTGGTTGAGATGGAGACTGACAAATCTGTTGCCTGGACTAGCCTTGAATTCCAATGCCTCCAAAGAAGCAAGGTTGTTACAGCCATAGCACCTGACCTGAAAAATGCTTTTCATAAGCAGAAATTTTTATTAAAATATGACAGTGTGATAGCTAAGAGCATAAAGCTCTGATATCAGACTGACTCTGAATTCTAACTATACCAATAACTATATAATCCTGGATAGATTATTTCTCAAGGATTCTCCATTTTCTCAGCAATGAAATGCTGATGATACTTTTTTTTGGGGTCCGGTTGTGGGGCCTGAACTCTGGGCCTGGGTGCTGTCCCTCAGCTCTTCAGCTCAAGGCTAGCGCTCTACCACTTGAGCCCAGCACCACTTCCAGCTTTTTTCTTTTTGCTTATGTGGTGCTGAGGAATCGAACCCAGGGCCTCATGCATGCAAGGCAAGCGCTCTACCACTGAGCCACCTTCCCAGCCCCTGATGATACACTTTATAAAATAGTGATAAGGACTAAATGAGATAGCATAACATGAAGCCCTCAACACAATGATGGACTTTGAGTAGAGTTTCATTAAGTATTAGCTCTTATTATTAGAAAAACTATTCTAAAATCAAGTAGGAAATGGAAACTTTTGAGACTATTACATTGTCAAATATGGGTAGACCTAAAGCATATAACCTATTACTTCCTCATTATTAAAGTATACTCACCTCCTACATATTCAGATACAAAGGTCCAAAAGCTGACCTGGAGTGAAGTCAGTATCAACTGGTAGAAAGCACAAACCAAGCCTTTGTAAAGTTATCAATGAATGAATAGTACCTTCATCGATGTCAGGAGGAAGACCTCCAACAAACACCTTTCTTGAGTAGCGTTCTACTCGTTCCCCATTTTGACAACGAGTGGGAGAACTTAAGCCAGATGACAAGGCCTGATCACCATGGCTGTCGTCCAAAAAGGCGTCTTCAAAGGGGAAGAGAGAGGATCGACCTGAAACAAAGACAGTTCCTATAATCAGAATGATTTACCTGGACAATAAATGTTATATTAGATGCTTAAAGTATATGTCATGAAGCATTAAAAAATGGCTCCTTAGCTGTGGCTTTTCCAATAAAATACAAAACTGAAGATGACCAGGTCTACACAAGTTTATACCACTGTTACTGAATAAGGACACACACAACACTGCACTGACAGGATTGATACCTAAGAATCAAAATCGCAGCTGTTTTCCTAAGAAGTCACTGTATTTTGGTTACATGGTCTCTATCACAGCTGCTAGGAAAATACCCAGCAATTAATTTTTGTTTCTTCAGTTATTTCTTAAAACACATGGAAAAACAGTATCTATGCACAGACGTGTATCTGCTCTTAACCTCAGAGATTTAGTTCTGAAAACTAGCCCTAATAGTCAAGGTATAATAGAATCTCCTAACTGAGCTAATAACTTCAAACAGTAGAACTAAAAACTGAGTTTTCCCTCTCATCCTAAGCTAATTCAATTTGAAAGCAAACATAGACAACAATGTAGGGAAGAACAAGAAAATCAAAATCCATCAATTAAGAGGGAGTATAAATTAAGAGAGGGAGTATAGATATAGACACAGTTATGATAACTCTACTAATCTAGATTGAGTTTATCTTGTTCAAAAATAGATGAAAAGAGCCAGGCATCCAGCTACTTAGTAGCTGAGGCCTGGAGGACTGTGGTTCAAAGCTAGCCTGGAAAGAAAGGTCTTCAAGTCTCCATCTCCAATTAAATAGCAAAATGCTGGACTGGAAGTGTAGCTTAAATGGTAGGAGTGCTAGCCCTGACCAAACTGAGTAAGACTGTAAGACCCTTAGTTCAAGCCCAGTAGCAAACTACACACATTAAAGAATTACAGATTTATTTTCATTGTTAACAAGTATAACTAAATCCAAGTTTCTCACCTATCCACTCGACATTACTATAAGAAGAGATATAGCACAATAATGTATAGAATACAGACCAAAAAAGTCACCACATGAATGTAAAACAGGGGGACTATCTGGGGATGAGAACCAGAGGTATTAAGGAAGGCAAAGGAGAGGGTGAATGGGAGTGAATATGGATGGGTCAGATACATGTGTAAAATTAAAATGGTCTTAAAAAGAAGAGGGGTTATGAGTAATCAGCCAGGTGCTAGTGGCTCATGCCTGTAATCCTAGCTGCTCCTTAGACTGAAATCTGAAAGGCAGCCTGGGCAGGAAAGACCATGAGATGCTTATCTCCAAATTAAGCACCCAAAAAACCAGAAGCGGAGCTGTGGTTCAAGTGGTAGAGTGAGAGCCTTGAGAGAAAAAACAAAAGCTCAGAGACAGCGCGTAGGCTCTGCGTTCAAAGCCAGGACTGTAAAAAGAAAAAAAAAAAGTAAGGGTCGGGTAAATTTAACCAAAGTATATTTATGTACGTATGAAAAATTATAATTAAATTCTTTTGAACAATTAATATATGCTACTAAAAAAGAAAAGAATATATACATAATAATCATATATAATCAATTCTAGTTATTAGCAGTAGTGTTATATACAGTCATTGTGAGTGCTGAATTATAGAATACTAAACCTCTGAACACAATTTTCAATTGTTGCAATTTCATTGACAGATCAATACACATCCTTGTTTTACATGTGTTTCTATTTAAAGATACCTTATTTAATTTTTGGGTTTGTTTTTTTTTTTGGTTTTTGCCAGTCTTGGGGTTTGAACTCAGGTCGTAGGCTCTATCCCTGAGCCTCTCTATGCTCAGGGCTAGTGCTCTACCACTGGAGCCACAGCACCACTTCTAGCTTTTTCTGTTTGTGGTACTGAGGAATTGAACCCAGGGCTTCATACATGTTAGGCAAGCCTGTACCACTAAGGCACATTCTCAGCCTCTTATTTTTCATTTATTAATACTGAATATATGGCCAGTAATACTATGTAACTGACACTTAAAAACATCTTATTCAATGGCTGGGTATAGGGGCTGGGAAGGTGGCTCAGTGGTAGAGCGCTTGCCTTGCATGAATGAGGCCCTGGGTTCGATTCCTCAGCACCACATAAGCAAAAAAAGAAAAAAGCCCAAAGTGGCGCTGTGGCTCAAGTGGTAGAGCGCTAGCCTTGAGCTGAAGAGCTGAGTGACAGTGCCCAGGCCCAGAGTTCAGGCCCCATGACTGGACCCCCCAAAAAACAAAAACAGACAAACAAAAAAATCAATGGCTGGGTATAGTGACACATGTCTGTAATCCCAGCTACTCAGAAATGGCAACCAGGAGGATCATGGATTGAGGCCAGCCACAGCAAAAATTTAGCAAGATCCTCATTTCAACAAATAAACTGGACACAAATATGTAATGGAGCTATGCAGATGGAATAGGTAGGATGACTGCAATCCAATTCTGGCCCCAGGCAACATAAGACCCTCCAAAAAACCAAGCTTAAAAAGAATGGGGGAAAGCTGGGGATGGGAGCTCAAGTGATAGAACACTGGCCTAGCAAGTGTGAGGCCTTTAGTTGAAACCCCAGTAGCTAAAAAAAAAAAAAAGAAAGAAAAGAAAGAAAAAAAAGAGAAAGAAAGAAGAGGGAGAGAGAGAGAAAAAACGAAAGAGAGAAAGAAGTCACATTATTCAGTATGTTATTAGCTTATTAGCATTTATTTTATGGACAACAGTTCTACCTAACCTATGCCAGAACAAAACTTGGTTAAGGCATGTATCTTCTCCATAAGGAACATTACAGCCTTCTTGTGCCGTCTTGGAACTTTTAACAGCTCTTCAGGTAGTTAGGAGTCATTTTAAGTTGTAAAGTTCCTAGCAAAAAAACATGGAAGCCGGGCGCTGGTGGCTCACGCCTGTAATCCTAGCTACTCAGGAGGCTGAGATCTGAGGATCGCGGTTCAAAGCCAGCCTGGGCAGGAGAGACCATGAGACTCCTATCTCCAATAAACCACCAGAAAACCGAAAGTGGCGCTGTAGCTCAAGTGGTAGAGTGCTCGCCTTGAGCTGAAGAGCTGAGGGACAGCGCCCAGGCCCAGAGTTCAAGTCCCATGACTGACAAAAAAAAACAAAAAACATGGAAATACAACACACTAAACAGATTACGGAATGGACTCCTGTTTAGGAGAAGTTATGTAGGCAAAAAACAACTTCCTCTAATATGAACTGAGCACATCATTTGGGGTTTTTGCCATGTTCATGACTGTCTATGAAAGCATTGAGTACTGACTGATTGGGAGATTATAAATGTATTTTAGCAACTAGAAGATGAGCTAGTAAATATAGAACCTGCCAAAAATATGAGTTAACTGTGTATCTACCTGATAAGGATAATTAGGTGCACTTTATGTATGCCTAAAATGTAGACAATTAAGCTGGGTAAAGTGGCTCAAGCCTGTAAACCTGGCTACACAGGAGATTGGGAGGATCAGTTTGGAGCCAGCTGGGCAAAAAACCCCCCAAAGCACATGTCAACTAATAAAAAGTTGTATATAGTGGCATGTCCCTGTCAACTCAGTTATATAGGAAGTATCAGTGGAAAGATTGTTGACCAGGCAAAAAGCAGTGCCTTATCCAAAACAATAACTAACAGACCTTATTCAAAAAAATAACTGACACAAAATAGCTGGGCTGGTAGATCAAGTGATAGAGTACTTGCCTAGCAAGCACAAGGCATTGAGTTTGAAGCATAGAACTGCCAAAAACAAAGGAACCAAAAACCAAGATAGACAATTAAATCCCAAATAATGCAACAAATCAACAAGAAAGCTCTTAAATATTGTCAAGTAGTCTATTCATATTTCTATTTGATGAAATTCAGTTTGCCTTCAAGTATACTTTGTATGTTTACATTTTTAATAAAAATACTATCATTTATTTTTTAAGAATACAATGCTATTTGACATTACAAAATAAAATCAAACTTTATGAACAAATCTATTTCCTTCATCTGTGAGTTCCTGGTAAAATAGTAGGTTCTATTCTAAAAATGAACTATCTTGAATACTGTAACTTTTTTTGCTTTTATTAACTTAAATTTGTTGTCAAGGTAATGAACAGAGGGGTTACAATTACGTATGTAAGGTAGTGAGTATATTTCTTGTCGAACTTGATAATCCCCTTCCTCATTTTGAATTATAGCTAACTCTTGAGAAAACACTTGAGAAAAAAGTAAGTTGATATAGTCTTCAAAAATAAAAGGCATCTTCATTTAGTATATCTTGTCTATGTTCACCTGAAATCTAGGTTTTTCTGCCAAACAGCTGTGTGGTTATAACTAGTCTTAGAAAAATAATAAACTTTTCTTTCACACAAAAAGTGGCTGTCAATATGACTATTTTATAAATAACCCAGTGTTGTAAGAAAGGTTTTGTTCTGATGAGTTAGTAAATAAAACGGCCAAGAAGGGAGAGAAAAAACTAAAATATTTTTGCTCAGCAATTCTGTTACAAAGAAACAAACACAAAAAACCCGCAAAAACAAAAACCAACAAAACACCTGTTTTTGTCTGGCAGGAACAAACAATGAGCAGTCAATTCTCATCCCTTGATCTATAAAAACTACAGACAAAATGAGCCTTGCCCAAGACAACTCTGATCTACTCCACACTCTGGATCTCAAGCTTCCTCAGTGTCAGGTTTATATTCAATCACTTCCCACACAATGCTCCTATTCCCACCTCTCACCCATTGCTCTAGGAACATGAGAGGCTAAAAAACAGAAGCTGGTGGAACAGAATAAAGCAACTAAATAATTTAAGAAAATGTTGCTCTCTCCAGATTCCAACCCATATTAGAACATAAAAGGCTGGCCAGGTACATGGGTTCATGCTTGTAACTCCAGTGACTCAGGAGGATGACGAAGTCAGCCCTGGCAAAAAATTAGCAAGACCCTACCTGAACAGAACGAGTTGGGTGTGGTGGTATATGACTGCCATCCCAGCTAAGCAGGTGGCATATGCTGTAGGACTGTGTGTGGTCTAAGGCTGAACC